AGATTTGAATTATCATCTGATCCATTTTACTGCATTCTTCCAGCTTTTCTGCAGGTGAATTAGTTGGGGGTTTCAGTACCCTTGGTGGCCACTGTTCGAACTGGCCATGGACTATTGTTTGATAGCAATAATCACACTGTTGTTCTAATGCTTCACTATTTCAGCTCTTAAGCTTCATCCACCAGTAGTTATACAAACAGGCAAGTAAAATTGTGAACAATGCTTTACAACAGTTTAGCTGGTAGGACGTGTCACTAGATAGATTCTTTCCAGCCTAGTCTGCATCATTTCGCTTCAATTAGTTCTCCTAAGTGTTCAACTTGAAATGAGATCATACTTGCAGTCTACTGTTTAATCTGTGCCTGTTTAACCTATGCAGCTGATTTCTAGTGTTTAAGTTCTCACAAATTTGAACAAATCTTGTAATAATCAATGCCCTGCTGGCTAGAATGAGTTGCTAGAACAAAGTTTGTGGAGCTCCCACAGAACTGCAGGATTATTTTCATAATGAGACTCAATAGAGGTTTCACCAGACTGATTTGTGATGACAGGCTTGTTGTGTGAGGAGAGATTGCATTGACTGGGCATGCGGCTTAAAAGATTGAGAGGGGATCTCACTGATACACAAAATTCTGCTGTGTTTAGTCAGATTAGATGTAGGGATGATGCTTCCCCCCAGGCAGCAAGTCAAGAACAAGAAATCATGGTGTCAGGGTTCGAACTGAGAGAAGGAGCAATTTCATCAGAGTATGGTGAACCAGTAGGCTACAGAGGCAAAAGTAACAGTACACATTTAAGAAAGAAATCATTTCTAGAAGCCAGAGGTGGCAAGAGGTGTGGGAAGAGAGGGGGAGTAAAGTGTTGACATGGACAATCAGCCATGATTATTTTGAATAGCCTACTTCTGTTAATTTCTATATTTCACCTTCACAGGAATTATCAGCTTATTACAGGTGAAGGATTGAATCTTGCACTCTGCTCAGTAAATCAATCACAATACCAATTTTGAAGAGGAGAGGTTTATATATTATTGTGGATTTTAAAAAAAATTGGCATACAGCTTGCAGTCTTTTCGACTGTTTTTTTAAAAAACAAACTCAGTTACACCTTCCAGAAAAGTAACAAGATTCAGTGATGTGACAAAAGCAGATAGTTGCAAATTCCAGTAGAGTGAATGAAAAACTTATCTATACAATGTTTATGAGGTTACCTTGAAGGTCCTACCTTATAGGCCTCTCAGGAGGTGGGGTGACCCCTCAGGTTAAATCAGCACCAGTTCTCCTCTCTGTGATGAGAGAATCCTATAGTCCTCTGGAATGATAGGGCCTTTACTTATTTATGCACAGGAAGTAAACATTGAAGGCCTTTAGTTTATTTGCAGTTTAGAAAAAGCAATGATTGATTCTTCATTTAGAAAACAGATTGAAAAAAATTAAAAGGGGATCTTGGAGATCTGACTGAACTCAAACAATTACCTTCTCTCTACTAGAAAGGAGTTTTATATTAAAAATTAAAAAGATAAAGCATTCTCAATCTAAAAAAAGTGTAGTTTGTGCAATTTCCAGACCAGGAGTGTGTGGTTAGAAATCTGAAGGTTATTAGAAGTTGAGAAAACTTGCGCTCAATTTCCAGAGTATTCATCATATGACAGAAAAGGTATGGATCAAAGTTAAATGTTTGAGGTATAATTTCTCTGGATTTAATATTTTAAAATTGGTGTTAGGAAATAGATTGAAACAGAAAGGGTGTTTTAGATCCAGATTTTTAATAAAAAAATGAACTTTAGTTCTGTCATTAAAGAAACTCTATAGCCTTATTGCAGTGAAATGATCATATTAACCAAAGTAAGTTATTTTAACAAGTCAGGCTTCATTCTTTAAAATTTATTCACAAAATTCCCATCCTGATTTGCCCAGAGGGCTGTTAAGAGTGAACTACATTATTGTGGCTCTGAAGTCATACGCAGGCCACATCAGGAAAGAACAGCAGCTCCTTTCCTTTAAACAGGATGAGTGGACCAGATGGGTTTTACCAACAATCAAAAAAAAATGGTCAAGGTCATCATTAGATGCCAAATTCCATCTGCCATGGTAGGATTTGAACCTAGATCCCCAGCCTGGAGTCTCTGGATTAATGGTCTTGTGACAATACCACTAGGACTTTGCATCCCCCACAGACCTGGCTTGTTCAGTATTTCGAGCAATTGTAATCATTATAGAATACTATAGATGGAGCAGTTAAACATACCTTACTCCTATCATTGCTCCTTTAGGGAAGGGCTGCATTTGCTAATACAAACATATGCATGCACATTATTTAGATGCACGCACATTATTTAGATGCACAAGTTAAAGCGGTACATAGTTTTGGAGGATATAACCTGGTTTTTCTTTGGGGCAGGGCAACACCCGGGGAAGAAGAGAAAAACAACAGGAAAAATCCTGTGCATACACAACGTGGCCTTTGCATATGATATCAGCCGTAAACGTTAAACAATGATGTATTGGATGTGGAATTGTGCACGTGCATGTTTCTGGATTAGTGCCTATATTGTCCATGTGTACAGCTACAGCCTTGGGGTACGAGTTGCCCTATTGAAAAGTAGGTTGACTTTATTTTAAAATGGCAGGTTTCTTTTTAAGAAGTGGTGCACATGATAATTATCAACAATCAGTTTTTTTTTAAGAAAACAAGGACATACTTGTCAAGGTTTAGCTTTACCCAGCCACATGACATACATGGAGGATTTCCCACATACCAGTGCAGAGCAACTAGTCTACATCCAGAGAAGCACAAGAACCCACTTTGTATCCAAGTTGAATCCGTTTAACCCATTTAATGTACAAAGACATTTTGAAAGCCAAAATTTGAGGGACTGTGAAGTTGAGCCCCATTGTAAAGAACAGCCCTGGACAAATCCATGCAGAAAATTCTCTCATATCAAATCTTGATTTGATAACAAACTCTGGTCCTTACAGAAAACAGACCAAGTACACAAGTAAAGTCAGTGACTTCCTATCACAATCATGAAACAACACTAACCTAGATTGAAAACTGAAGTATCAGGAGAACCTATCACTAGTGGTATGACTTCAAGAAATTTTACAATTTTATTGTAGGAAAAATAAATGCAGATTTATAAACATCTTAGAATCAAAATAAAACAGTAATTTTGATATCATCTGAAATTAGATAATGTAAATAGTTTTTAAAAACTAAGAAAATACATGAACAGAGGTTAAAAGCGGAGGGCAAAGGAGAAGTCAGTCAGGAATAATGGCAAAATCTGTGACAAGATTTACATGTCTGTTTGAAAAGCTATAGTTTCATTAGTTATAACTGTACAGATTCCAGAAATAGAGTATTGAGGTTGGTTGGCTTGCTGAGCTGGTTTGTTGTTCTGCAGACGTTTCGTTACCGTGCTTGGTAACATCCTCAGTGCAGCCTCTGATGAGGCATCGGTGTTTTCCCGCCTGGCTTTTAAACTCTGGGGTCCGTTGCGATGGATTGCCTCACTTCCGGGTTTCCTCCGTAGTGGAACGTATATGGGGGGTCGAGTTCAATGCATTTATTAATAGCGTGCTTCGTGAAGTGCCATGCTTCCAGGAATTCTTGTGCTTGTCTCTGCCTAGCCTGTCTCAGGATCTTGGTGTTGTCCCAGTCGAAGTCTTGATTCTCCTTGTCCACGTGGATTGAAATGAGCGAGTATTGGTCGTGTCTTTTTGTAGCCAGTTGGTGTTCACGTACTTGTTAGTTTCCTTCCTGTTTGTCCTATGTAGTGTTTCTCGCAGTCTCTGCAGGGGATCTTGTAGATAACATTGGTCCTGTCCTGAGTATTGCAAGGTTTTGCAAGTCTTGAAGTGGCATCATCAAGGGAAGCACCAAGAGAATTATGGTCTTATGTACAGAATTATGGTCAACTTGAAATTAGAGATCTCAGAAAAAAAAACCTCTGTAAAAAGACAAACCAGCACTCAAAAAAAAAAATCAAAATTCAGATTGTGATTACTTCACATATTTGTATCCAAATCACTTGGTAATTTAATGAAGAATATTTGAAACCAGCCAAAATATAATGTAAAACCATGAGATGGCATGGTCCTTTTACTCCAACGTTCTTTAGAATATCTACAGACTTTTGTGTAATCTTTCACTACCATCCAAGGTCTGACCTAGTCAACTGCATTAACATTGCTCCACTCTGTCATGTTTCCATTCATACTAGTGACAGATAAGAGTCAAAGTGAATTTGGGCGGTTCAGGCCCCATTATGAGTTTTTATAGCAACTGATTGGCTTTAATATGTGTAAAATAAGCAGACTCCTGACATCTGGTGGCTGTGCAGCTGTATTTTATAAACCTCATGCAAATTTAAAAGCTTTGATTCAATTTAGAAGAATAATGAATCATTCATCTGAGATGAAGGCCAAACAGAAAATTGAAGATAGTTGAGAAAAATCAAAAAGCTTCAGATACAGTAGTTACCAAAATAGATCTAAAAGGGAGGCCAGAAAAGCAAGTGTGTGGATTAAGAGGATATAATTGATGCAATGACTACCTGTGCCTTTTGGCACAACCAGATGAATACAACAGAGCAAAAATTGAAGTGAATACAAACAGATGTGCATTAGCTACTCAGTACAAAATGTTTAAACTAATAAATGCCATCAACAGCCCAAACTAGTGGGAACAACTTCAGCACTTGTTTCAGTCATAACCAAAACACTAGCCATTATAATTGAGTGAGGCAGCCTTTGGCATCTCCCTGCCAACATTGAGGCTTAGCTAGTGCCCCTTTCCTGAAGTGTGAGAAATTATTCTCATTTGACTGGCTGGCAAAATAGTAGCAACAGAAATCAATTGTCATGAAACAGAAGGGAAAAATGGTTCTTGGATTTGTAAGGTCTTTTTTGAAACCCGCCAAACAATGTTTCATTGCAATAGTGTTCTCTCTAATAATCACTTGTCTGATAAGACAAAATGCCCATAACACTCAAGACTAAATTAAGACAGTGCATTTATTGCTTTTACAGAGATATCAAATCACCACATGCAAACAAACATTCAGACCATTGCTCAAGTATTCAGAGCAAAGTAAATGAGAATCCTATTAATATTTTGAATGATATTTGCACATTAGGCTCTAAGAATAGGTACATTGTGTACATGGTAGCATTTTGAAATACTGTGCTATCAGTGATGATATCTGTTATCTTGTATCTACAATTCTCAACATACTGCTAATGCATGTCAGTGGAAGTAAAGTCATGGAGATAAGGCATACCGTTTTTGGAAAGGAACATTTAAAAAAAAGGAGACAGGAAGACAAGATTTGAACAAGTCATAGCGTACACTATAATGTCAATATCCATCATGCTTTTCAGTAGGAACCTACCCTCATTTTTATGCTGTATGCCACTTGATGCAAGTAAAACAAAATCCGGAGGTACAGGTAGATAGAATTTTGCCAAAGGAGTTAAAGGGCACCTGGGTGAATAGGGAAGTGGAGTCAAGCCCACAATCAGATCAGTTATGACCTTAAACAGTGGAGCTGTTGTAAAAGGAGCTTACTCCTCCTATTTCATACAATTGATAGGAACAAAATGTTTGATCCTCAAATTGCCCTATACCTTCATTATGGTGAAAGTCAAAGACAGTGTTAAAAAGGTGGCAGTATGTTTTATCATGATCATTCAAGGCATTAATATTATACAGAAAAATTGGATAGTTTCAGTTGAGATTTTTTTTTGAGCATAAAAAAAGACTGGTAGTGGGTTGGAAATGTCACTGAACATTTTTCTGTTTATTCAATGACCATGAGACTTCAATACATTTCTTCTAAAATTCAGGCATTGTTCACTTTCAAGTGAAGCAAGAAACTGTCTTCATTACAAAGTTCTCTGGGGGAAATTTAACTTTAATTTTGGAGGGTCAGTTCCTATATATTGAAACAACCTGTGTAATAAATGGTCACAGAAATCCCAGTAACACAGTTAAAGTGCTAAATGGACTTCAAGAAATTAAAGTTCAGCAATGCAAGTAAACAGGACCTAATTTTTCATTACATCTTGAAGACATTCAAGAATAGTCACTGAAAGCACAAATCACATAGTACTTAGGCCAATAAACCACTGCATCTCACAAAAAGTTATCCATTATTTGCAAAACAATAATTTTCCACAGCTGGTGATAATCATGAAGATTTTGCATGCTTTGAGATTGGCCCATTCTGAACCTAATTTCCCCGATTTTATCCATTGATGCACAGGGACAAAATGATTACAGCAAGTTATGCATGAAGAGTGCTTTGCATTCTTGGTGATCCAGGTGAGGCAAATATTTTAACAACTAAAAACTTCCCTTTAAAGAAAGCAATTCAAAATTGAAAGCAAGTTGCACAAGGCATTTACTCTTGACATTGAGATTGTTCATGCTTTACAATAAGCCCTGCCTGTTAGTAAGGAGGTAGAAGACATTCGGTATTTTGATTTTAATTTCAAAGTCAGTTAGTTCAACAAGATTTTTTTTAATGTTCAGACATGCATGTCAAGCAATAAAATAAGTTATTAGAACATGCTCAACATTTAATCAAGTCTACGCCATATTCCTCACAAGAGATGGCTCAACATTTGAAGTCTCAATTGACAATTATTAAAAAAAACTTTAAAACTAATTTCATTCAGACCACAATATCGGCACTTCAGTGCACAGAAGTATCAAGGAAATAAAGACTTCATAAACTGATTCAAAAACCCACCCGATTTATTACAAAAAGGATTTGGTATGCCTGGAGACAGTCAACATTGCACACCAAGACAAAAACACATACCACAGCTTTCTGCCGGTTACAAGTTACCATTGTTAATAATAACACTGCAGCCTTCAGTTTGAGCATATTTAACAAGACTACCAAGACAGTTCTGAGACCACGCAAGCAGTAGAATCTCCATTTTGAATTTAGAAATATTTTTAAAGGCACATTTATGTAGAACTTTATTTCTAAAGTTAAAAGCAAGATTCAGAATTCAAATTTATTTCTCAGTTTTGTTTCCAGGAAGTACACTTAGTTATATTCAAAGCTTGGGTATTGGAGTGGCCGCTATAGCAATGCTTTCAATTGCACATTCATCACTGCCTCGAAGAATTCGGAAGTAGCCATTTTCTCCCCATTCTGTTCCCCAGCTATTCTTAACTATCCAGTAATTTTCTTTTGTCTTAGGGTCACTACCATAGCCAATGAGCAACACTGCATGATTAGTAAGCTCAAAGGGATTGAATGGATCACGTAATCCAGTGTGGTGATAGATTCCACTATGGTAATTCATGAAGTCACTGTAAACTTCAAAGGCAACAGACACTGGACCATTTTTCACCAGCTCCAGTTTCATTGCTGCTTCATTGCAAGCACCATAAAATCCACCCACATAATAATACTGAGAGGTGTAGTAACGGTAGCAAGACTTCTCAACGGTACAAGGAGTATCCATGCCAACATAAGGGAAGCAATGTTCTTCAACCAAACCAAAATCTTGGGCATATTTTCCAGCAATCAAGTAGGGAAATCCACCTTCACATCCTAAAAGGTTTTTGAAAAACCAAAATAAAAAAAAAATCTGATTATCCACAGCACATCATATTAATACTAAAGCAAAAATGCTACATTTGTGACTAGTCCCTACCTCCACCCCAAGAAAAGCATACCTTGTCCGAAGCAAAGGAATGCTGTTATCTTAGGAATTTGTAACTACTGAAATTGGAATTAAACTCTGAAGTTTATATTGCAGGTTGAAGGTGATCCAGAATACAATATTGTCAAATTTAACAATGTTATTACGAGCACAAAAGCTTCAGCCTACAGGGCCACAAAATACATCTAGTCCGGAAAGTATTCTCAATACTCAATTAACTATAGGTGCCCATACTTAAAAGTCAAGGCTGAGAGTGGCCAATGACTAGTTGCCTAGCTCTGATGTGCATCAGCAAGTTCTGGTGGCCTGTCAGGTAGGAGTTGTAGATAGTAGCTTCAGTGGGTAGTCTGGAGACTGGTGTTGGGGGCTTTCTGGGCAATGACTTTTCACAGAGGAGCAGCAGATACACAGCCCACAGGTCTGAAGGCTTGGAATTGCCTCAGGTTTGCAGGGGAAGAAAGGTTGCTCTAAAAAAAGAGTGTTGACCTGGTCTGGGAAGACACAGCGTTACTGTAAGTGAACTGTTCATGCAATTGTGACACTCATCTCTGGTCTCAATAATGTAGGAAAATTAAAGTGAAATGAGGCAACTTTATAGTAGGCTGTCATTCAGAAAGCTGTTTAATGACCCATGTTAGCTCAAGTGTTATGGCATACTGGGACAAATTTTTGTCAATCAAAAACTATGCTAGATTTAGATTTTCTTTATGGACATATTGTGATGGAAGATATACCATCAATGTGACAAAATAACACTGGACAAAGGCACCATTGCCACATTTAGCAATGTCATTAGTATATATTGACTAAAAAGTTTGATATTTTTACAGGTCAAGAACAATTAGTCGTAACAGATATTCGATTGGAAAGGAGCATTGGTATTTGGCTCTAATCAGTTGAAAGTGTGTTATGACATCATAAGCTACAATCAATTAAGGGTGTCTATAAATGAAGGAAGCAAATATCCATGATTCAATAACCGTGGTCTTAAAAATCAATTACCTTGTGAATACTGGCTGCAGGAAACGATCTGCTGTGTGCTAAGGATCGGAGTCTGTGTGTTGTTTGTTCGAATACGAATACGGGCTTCAAGCATTCCCATGGAAGAAAAGGAATAGCAACTGCCACAATTGCCTGCAGTCATTGAAAGAGATATAGATCAAACAAAACAATGAAGCATGGAAAAACAGTAATTTGTCCAGTTATTAAATACTTTAAAGTCATTATTGAAAGTCAGGGCACACTTTCAACCCCAGGTTTGGTACCTTTACTTAACCATTGTCAATTAACTCAGCACACCAATTGAAGGTACAGCATTTATTGCCCTATAGCACTACGAATCCATCATCAAAAGACAGTTGTTGCCAGGTTAAACCTTGGGAAGTAACCAGGACAGTTGAATCACTCATGATAGATTTTGGAAAAAAAAACTGAAGATAACCCAAATAATTGTGGATTCACAAGGAACTACTGGCATGGATGTGGCACTCCAGATAATTTATAAACCAAAAATAACCAGTCTAAGATTTTGCCAAGTTGAAAAATGAAAGCAGTTCAATTTAGTGCTTCAAGAAGTGATCTGAAAAAAAAGACAAAAAAAAAAGGGGCAAATATGTCCATATCAGCAATAGTCTGAATTTCTCATTTTAAAGCAGAAACCAAACTGAATTTTAAAAATACAATAAATAATTTGTAGGAAATTATAGGACAGAAGTCCTGAGCTCACTGGATGACAAAGGAAACAAAAACAAAAAGTTAAAGAAAGTGCGCTTGTGACTGGTCAGAAAATACAGTTGCGAACCAAGCTGAATGCACAAGGTCCAGAAGACAGGTGAATAAGCAAAGGGAAGAAGTGATGGATTATATATAAAAAAGGCTGTAGCTAATTAAAAGGAAATGCTAAAATCTAAGCACTTAATAGTAAATCAATAAGTAGTAAATTAAAAGAGGGGGAGTAGGGCCAATTAGCGACCAAAAAAGGGATTTACAAAAAGGTAAGAGACATGGTTGAGATGTTAAAAGAATAGCGCAAGAGACCACATTTTTACTTTCTGACAGAATGTGAAAACTGGACACTGCTTTTAAAAAAAAAAATGGAAGGACATCAAATCTAGACAAATTTAGTTCCACCTGTTATGGGCTTGTGACAGCTGAGCATGGTAATAGTTGATTGGTCAAGTTGCAGTTTAACTCAGACCATGCAAGGGAAGGTTAAACAGAAGGAGACCTCCAGAAGTTGACTGCAAACTCTCCCACATCTTTAGTAAGTTGTTTCCTACAATTTTTTGTCTAATAGAAAACTATAATTGAGGACAAAAAGAAATAACTAACTCAAATCCAAAAAGCTGATCTCAAGTTAAAGCAAGCAACCAGTGAATTAAAGTCCAATTATAGCTGTGCAGATAACATTGTGGCAAGAAATTGAAAGGATTCTGAAACAAACATCTAGTTTTGATATTTGGTCTGGTGCCAAAACTGTTTGCTTGATGTCTTTTCTCTGCCTCCGCTAAATATTTAGTTCGAGTGTGTGCCTGGAAAATAACCGTAGCAAAATTTGAGTTACATAGAATTAGAAACCTTTTTCTTTTACTGTTCTTGTTAAAGTTCAGTGTGTTAAAGTAAATAGCCATTTTTAAATGCTACTGAAGTAACCTGGTGTTTGATTTTCTCCTGGAAACAGCTGGGGCAGTGCACAAAGTTCTGGGTGCCACATCGCAGTAAAGTAGTGAATACATTGGAAAGAACACTAAAGCTTGAGAATCACTCCTGGGATGAAACATTGCCTGTATGAAGAAAGATTGGAAGAGTTGGGGCTGTTTTCCTTAGTGGGGGGTGGGAATGGCCGAAAGGGAGATCTGGTATGTTTATAAAAACCATGAGGCACCTGAAGTAGAAAGGAGAAACCGTGCTCACTTCATCCCATAGTCCAAAAAGAATGAACCATAGGAAAAGCTGCTACTTTCAACCACGGTAGTGGCGTAAGAAGGCATTTAGAGTTTTAAAAACAAGTTACTGGAACATAGAGTTCGATGAGGAGTTGTATATACAAATGTTGCCTTATTGGAACAGGAAGGCAGAATTGCAGACCGACAAATTGGCACTGCGCACTCAAGCAAATCTTCCCAGAGGGTTTTTTTTTTGGTGCGTTTTTCCAATTGGCACTAGTGGTGGGTTGAGGAGAGCTCAGCAACAACTACTTTATTGGTTCCTGGGCAGATGACTAGAACCTTGTGTGTGCATAACACAGCAGAAACATCTAGCCTGCAAAGTAGTAGCATCCATTTCTTTTCCTCTCTCCAGCATGTGGAAACAAATAAAATAATTCCTAGCAGTTGGCTATTCTTCCTCACCCTTCCTGTACAAGCTATTCTCTCTGCAAATCCCTTGTTGAAAGGAAAAAAAGAGCAAACTATCTTCAAAAGACACAGCGAAGAAACAGACCAAAGAACTCATGTACCCACAACCTTGTCATCAAGGAGCTGGATGGAAAGGAACTGAAAGTAAAAAAAGTCATCAACATCTCCGATAAAATGTAAAGCGATGCACTTTTGAAGCAGCAACAAGGGAAGACTCAACAAGTGGCAGGACACAGCTCGGAGCAACAATGGGATTTTGGAGTGCTTGGACACAGATTCCTGAAGGTGGTAGGACAGGTTTGTTGGGTGGTTAAGGAGACATACAGGACATTTGCCTTTTCAGTTGTAATATAAATAAGTGCAGGGAGGTTATTTTGGAGCTGTACAGAACTTCTGGTTGACAATGTGATTGCAATGGAGGGGGTAGAGTGGTGGTTAAAACAGGAAGTTGCCTAGGATGGAGCATTTCCACAATGAGGAGAGGTTGGATAAATTCAGACCGTTTCCTTTCCAGCAGAGAAGGTCGAGACAGGAGCCAAGAGGTGTATAAGGAGGTGCATCGACAGGGTGAATAGAAAGCAGCTGGTCCACTTACTTGAAGGGTCAATAACAAGGGGGCATAAGTTTAAAGTGAAAGGCAAGAGGTTCAGGGGGAGTTGAGGGAAAAGCTTTTTCAATCCAAGGGTGGACGAGGACTGGAATACACAGTCTGAAAGGGTAGTACAGGTGGGTGCCCTCCACATTTTTAAAAAAAGTACTTGAACGAACACTTCAAGTGCCATAACATTCAAGGCTATGGGCCTAGTGTAGGTAGTTGTATATTTTTGGTGGTACAGACTCGATGGGCTGAAGGCCTCTTCCATTCTGTACAATTATCTGATCCATAATTTTGACTGGTGCCAGAACTGTACTACATCCAAAGTTAAACATATGTTGTCTGCATATGGGAGTTTTTTAAAAATGTTGCAGTTTAAGTTAAAAGTTGACAATTGTTTCCATTTTACAACTGGTTAAAAACATCTGGCGCACTTTTTTTGAAAAACCCAAATGAGATAAGCATGGCAGAAGTTGGGCAATTTAGTGGTTCAAACAAATTTTCACACGTAATAACTCCAGTAGTAGTCGGGATTGACTTCCAGAAAACTAAGTTATTACAGAATTAAAGTGTTTTGTAAAAGCAAATGTGAATGGAGAAAAACTTTCATACAGTTAGGACCAAGAATATATTGCCTGGGTATGTGGTGGAAGCAGGTTCAATTGAGGCATTCAAGGGGGCATTGCATGCTTTAAAAAGAGAGTGCAGGGCTATGGGAGAAAATGTAGGAGAGTGACACCAAGTTAAAATATTCAGACGACAGTCAAAGACAATGGGCTGAATGGCCTCCATAACAATTCTATGAAATAGGCACAATTAACTTTCTAGTACCAGCTCATTCCCTCAAGAGAGGCAAAAGAATCAATTAAGGTTTTGTGGACAAAAGCTAGAGAAAGTCCTCCATGATTTGGTGTTCTCCAACCATTTTTAAATTTGTTTTGAACTAGTTGCAAACAAAGCCTATTTTTGGTAAAGTTGCACATAGGCTTTAAACAGAAGTCAAGAAAAAAAAAAAATGCATGGAGGCACAGCAAATCCACTTACTAACCAAGAAATGAATATTTCATTCTGTCAGAATTAGGGCAGAATCTTGAGGCGGGGGGTTTAAGATTACTCTAATTCCCAACACTGGTCGGGTCAAACATAGAACATAGAACATTACAGCGAAGTACAGGCCCTTCGGCCCTCGATGTTGCGCCGACCTGTGACGCCAATCTGAAGCCCATCTAACCTAAACTATTCCATTATCATCCATATGTTTATCCAATGACCATTTAAATGCCCTTAAAGTGGGCGAGTCTACTATTTTTGCAGGCAGGGCATTCCACGCCCTTACTACTTTCTGAGTAAAGAACCTACCTCTGACATCTGTCCTATATCTATCACCCCTCAATTTAAAGCTATGTCCCCTCGTGCTAGCCATCACCATCCGAGGAAAAAGGCTCCCACTGTCCACCCTATCTAATCCTCTGATCATCTTGTATGTCTCTATTAAGTCACCTCAACCTTCTCTCCAACGAAAACAGCCTCAAGACCCTCAGCCTTTCCTCATAAGACCTTCC